TCATGGGCCAAGGGAGATACCCTCTACTCCCACGGGAGGCCCCTACGCCCCCTCCCCCAATCTCCCTAGTTTTTTTTTTTTTTTTTTTTTTTTTTTGCATAAAATGAATAAATAATGCAAAAACATACAATTTAATTTTAATTTTGAAAAAAAAATTTTCATTATTTCAAATTGGTGACTTAAAACCTCCTTTTATATAAAAAACAAACATAAGTTTTGTTTTGTTCTTTTTAAAGGTATTTACTTGTTTGTATTTTCTTAAAGAATTACTTTTAATTTTATAGTTTTTATATTATTTTGTTAGGTAATAAATAATAAAAATAATTAATATGGAGAAATGTGACTTTGGAAAAAGTCTTGACATTCATTGCCACAAAACTGGATTTTCAAAAAAACAAGGTTTTGTTCAATTTAAAGATCTTCCTTGTGAAAAACAAGAAGAAATAATATGGCGAGCAAATTTAAAGGAAAAATATAGTTCAATAAGAATTATATGTTGTTATCATGAGCAATTCTATGAAAAATATTTTGAGAGAAAAATTACAAAGTGTTGCAATCCTTTTGGAACACACAAGGAAAGTAAAAAAAAAATGCTATAAAAGGTAATCTTACCTTATTTACAACAGAATTGATATGGAAATTAAAAGAAAACAATTTATTATTTATAAAAAGTTTTATAATTTCAGTTATTTTAACAACGTAAAACTAAATTTGTTTTTTAGGTAATATAAAGATTTCCATAGACATGGCAAACTATTTGCAAAAAAATAATGTTTATGTAACCCCAGGTTGGAAATTCTGCAGTAAATGTTACAAAAAAGCAATAAAAACTGATGAAGATTGAAATTCACAGGAGGAATGGAAATCAAAAAGTGAGAAAAAAATTAAGTTAGATACCACTATAGAATTGCTTGGAATCTCACCGGTCAAACTAAAAAGTCTTTCAAAACACAGCAAATTGCCTGTAGCAAAACAAAAGTTTGAGAACACTATTGACAGAGTTGCAAAAATGGTCTCATTAGCATATAATATTAAAGAAACTTTTTTAACAACAGAAATAAAAAGCCCCATTTTAAACAACAACATTAACAATGACCATGATCTAGACATTTTAATGTATGAAATAAAAAATAAAATTTCAGAGACTGACTCTTATCGCCATAAGGTGCAAATGTTAACACTCGCACCAAAATCATGGACACGTAAAAAGATATCAAGCTACTTTGAAGTGTCTGAGTATCTTATTCAAACAGCAAGAAAAGTTAAAAATGAGCATGGAATTCCATCATTGCCCAAAAAAAAAACTAAGAACCCACTTTCACCAGAAACAGTTAATTTAGCGATTAACTTTTATCTAAGTGATGAATTTTCGAGAATGATTCCAGGAAAAAAAGATTTTGTAAGTGTTAAGAAAAACCAACATGTTCAAAAAAGATTATTGCTACTCAATCTTAATGAATTACATGTTGCATTTAAAAATGACTACCCTAACGTCAAAGTCAGTTTGTCAAAGTTTTGTACTCTTAAACCTAAATGGTGTATTACAACTAATGTGTCAGGTACTCATAATGTATGTGTATGCATACATCACCAAAATACAAAATTTCTCATTGATGCCATTAGGTGGAATAAAAGTTATAAAGATTTCATGGTATTGATTGTTTGTTCGCTTGAAAATGCAGAATGTATGTTGCATCCATGTAACCAATGCCCTTGTATTGAGGCATTAAAAAGTTTTTTAGTGCAGGAGTTTATGGACCATGAGCTCGAAGAAGATGTAGCATTCAAGCAATGGCAGAGAACCGATAGTACAGCACTACTATTACAATCATTGCCACTAGATGATTTTAGTGATTTATTATGTGACAGCATTAACAACCTTACCACTCATTATATTGCAAAAAACAGTAAAGAAAATCTTAACCAAAACAAATGCCTAATTTTAGGAGATTTTGCTGAAAATTATCAGTATGTTGTTCAGAATGAGGTTCAAAGTTATCACTGGAGTAAAAGTCAATTTTCACTTTTTACAACTGTACTTTATTTTTTAAAGAAAAAAGTTCTCAAACACAAATCTTTTTGTTACCTTTCAGAAGATGTTGATCATGACACAGGATTTATTTACAAGACTCAGGAAGATATAACTAGATATATCAAAGAAAATTTACCTGATGTAACAGGTGTGAAATACTTTTCTGATGGTTGTGCAGCACAATTAAACAATTTTAAAAACTTTATCAATCTTTGTCATCACAGTAAAGAATTTAATTTAAACGCTGAATGGGTATTTTTTGCTACCAGTCTTGGTAAATCCCCCTGTGATGGTATTGGTGGGACTGTTAAAAGAGTAGTATGTCAAGAAAGTCTAAAACAAATAACTACTGGGCAGATTTTAGATGTTAATTTAATGTACTCCTTTTTGTAAAGCCCAATAAATAGAATTTGTTTTAAATTATTTTCTAAAGATAAAATCGACCAAACACAAGCACAATTAGAAAAAAGATATTTAGTTGGAATAACAATTCCTGGCACAAGGACATATCATCATTTTATTCCAATTGCTTCAAACACTAGCTATAAAAAAACAAGCATTGATATATGTATTGATTTATTTGATATCACTCCAAAAAGCAAACATATTAAAGAGATTTCATTAAACATTAAAAAAATGGATTATATTGCATGTTTTTATGACAAAATTTGGTGGGTAGGGATTGCTGAAGATGAAAGTGTGCTTGATATAAAAGTCAAATTCATGCATCCACATGTAACAGGTAAAAACTTCTTTTGGCCAATGAGAAATGACGAGTGTTGGGTGCTCAATCAGGTCATACGTACAACATATCTGATTTAGATTTGGAGAATATAAACAGTTGGTTACAAAAAAATATGTATACATTTAAATTAATTTTATTGTAATTTTGTTTACTTATTTTGCATTTAGAATTTGCATTTAGAATTTTCTTTTTTTCAAATCCTTGAATGGAAGGCTGACAAGGAGAGGGTTTAAATTAATCCCACGGTCCACCTTATCATGTCAATGACTAATTTGTATTATTCTACTAAATAATACCATAAATATATTGATTGTTAAAATGTTTTATTATTGTTAAAATGTTAAAAACATTTCAATATTATTGGTTTTAATATTTATGATTTTTAAAATCATGAAAAGATCTTTGTTTTGAGTGCTTACTTTGAAATAAAAATAGTGCTTACTTATAAATTAAAGAAAGGTAAATAATGGAAAAAAAAATTGTTTTTTAAACTTTAACTAAAAAAAAATTATAATTTAAAATTGAATTTTAATAATTATTTATTATTATATCATTTAATGCATAAAAAAAATAAAAAATTTAGGAAGATTGGGGCGGGAAAATTGGGGCGGGAAGATTGGGGCGGATACAAAAATTAAATTTTTCTAAAAAGACAATTTTTAAATGCAATTTTGATCAAGTATTAGAGTATAAGAGAGACAATTGATGAATCTAATTTTTTTCAGTAGACCTAAGATAAAATAATGATATACAATTAAACTTTTTATTCTGTATTTTAGGCCACAGTCTTCATTTTACCTCCAAAAATCATGAATTTACAATCAATAATTTTGAACAAAAATGGATAAACAAGGCATTTCTTGAGATAATCAAGTCTTTAGGGTGCTCTTTTTGGATTCTGCATGTAAAAATCTATTGGGGTGCCAAATTTTAGGAAGTTTTCCCAGGCCATTATGAAGATACTATATTTTCTAAATTTTCACTAAAATTTTTGCAGTTATTATTTTTTTAATATGGACTGCAAGTGAGGTAAAAATGAACAAATTCTGAGACGTAAGGGTCTGGATGAATTCATATGGAATGACCCTAATTAGAGAATGAAATTATTAAAAATTACTATTTTAGAAAGAATACATTATTTTTAAGCAAAACTTTTTTTTTTTGCAACTATTTTAAAAATTTATGTTTATACTATTTTAAAATATTATATAAAACACTTAATAAATTTGATAAAATTTGTTCATTTAATAAACAAAACCATTAATAGTAATTTGTTACTTAATTTAAAAGCATTTTGCGTAACTTTAATAAAATGTTCAAAAAGATAGATTTTGATAACATTTATTTCATACGCAATTAAAAATGTAACAACAAGTTTCGCTTTAAATTTAAGTTTTTTTTTTTAATTTTAGTGCTTCTTTATTTTCTTTATCGTAAGGAATTGTTTTTTCTTTATTGTTATTATTTTCCTAGTTTAACTTAAGCTTAAAAAAGGAAAAAATTATTTCTTTTCTGAATGCGTTTCTATTTTCAGTGCATTACTGAAATCATCATCAAATCATTTCAACAATCGTGGTCAAGTTGTCAAAAAAAAAAATCATTTGCGTAGTCAGCAATAGCGCTTGATCGCATGCCATTTTTATCCCAGCCTGATAAATACATAAATACATACATAAATACATACATAAATACAAATATACATACATACATACATACATACATGCATGCATGCATACATTAACTTGCTTCAAAAAGTTTATTATGGCATCATTTGAGTTTAAGAAATAGTTCAAAAAAATTACAAATAATATACATAATTAACATGTAACAAGTTTATAAAATAGGAAATTTTTTGGTATAATTTAATAGCACCCTGTTTTGATGATGACTCAAAATTATGTACTTTAGCCTAAACTTTTAAATATCAAACAATTTTATGAAAAAAAACAACAACTAAGAAATAGTAATAGCACCCTGTTTTGATGATGATTCAAAATTATGTACTTTAGCCTAAACTTTTAAATATCAAACAATTTTATGAAAAAAAACAACAACTAAGAAATAGTAGCATTGCTCAAGGCTTGAGCAATGCTACTATTGCTTGAGTCAAGCAACAGACATTTAGAAAAGATATGTTCACCTGTATGAAATAAACAATATTCTGAGAATGGAAAACTTTACAATTTATATGTAACAAACTTAGAAAAATATATGCAAACTTACCCCATCCCAGTGTCCATACTCATATTTTTTTCTTCTAAATGATAAAGAAACTTCTTTATCAAAGAAACTTTCTTCTTCTTCTGTGGCAAATTTTTCGTATATTTTTAAACATCTCTGCAATACTTGTTCGAGTTTATATGTTTCAATGGAATTGCTTGCTTGTATGGATAAAAACTTAAATGCTGTATTAGGAATTGCTTCCACGTCAGATTGAAACCTAATACAACTTTTTGATAAACGAAAACTTTCAGTGGTTAATAGATTATAATAATAGGGATTAAATCTTAATAATTTCATGCCTAATATTGCAAAAAAAGGACATGATAATATCATGATGATATTCTTTTTAAATTTTATATATATATATATATATATATATATATATATATATATATATATATATATATATATATATATAATAATATTATATATATATATATATATATATATATATATATATATATATATATATATATATATATATATATATATTATTAATATATATATATATATATATATATATATATATATATATATATATATATATATATATATATATATATATATATATATACATATATATATATATATATATTTACTCATAATTAAACTAGTATTATAAATACTATTTTAATTATGTCTCATTAAATAAAGGAGTGACAAAACATCCTATCTTTTTTTAATACTATTAATTTAATAATTTAAAAAATTAAGATGCATTCCTTTTTTTTTTTAACATAATACAAAACGGAAAAGCTATTAAATTACATGGCTTATTTTATCGTTTTTTTTTTTTTTGTTTTTTTTTTTACATTGGTTTTAATGATATTTATTTAATATATGAAATTTATATGGTCTTTTAAACGAAATTAAAAATAAATAATTAGAAAGTAAAAAAACAATCAATATACGCGCTTTGTAGTAGAATATTAGATCCGCCTGAAATATTAGTAAAACTCAAAACGAGATAGCGCTTTCGGATTATAACTGTTAGAAGTGTACCTAAAACGTCCGTACCATCTTTGTAAACATAAACAAGGAGAAAAAAACGCTTAGGACAAGAATTCTAGAAATTAAAAAAGTTTACATAAAAGTAATGTAAGAAAGACAATGTAAGATAGAGTGGTTGTAATAGAAAAAAAGCAAGTATAAACTAATTAGTTATTTACTAATGCTTTTGTTATATAACTGTGTATGTAAAAGTAAAATTCAGACCGATATATTTTAAATCTGTCTGAATTATTACCTACCCCTTGAAAATCGCTCAATGTAAGATGGTCTGATCTTCATTAAAGAAAAATGATTGAAATTCTACACATATAAAATAATTAATAATTAGTTGTTAGTTGTATAGTTTCTGTTTATACAAACTGATTAAATAATAATTATGTATAATCATGTAAAGATTATTTACAAATATCTGTCTGAATTATACCCTTTCCCCGAGTAAATTACTAAACTTGCGTCTGAATTATCTCCTTCCTCCTAGTAAACCATTCAATAAAAGATGGTGCAATAATGGTATTGAGTGATGTAATAAATAGTAAGTAACTATAAACTTTTAGTTATATATTAAATTGAAAATGCTTCACAAATACCTTTTTTAGTTTCTAAATTATTACCTCCCCTTAGTAAACCGTTTAATGTAAGATGGTGTGATAATGGTATAAAGTTATGCAACTATATATCAATAAGTTAAAAAATTATGTTAAAATGATTTACAAATATACTGTTTGAATTATCACGTTCCCCTTAGTAAATCATGCAATACAAGATGTATGATACTGGTATTGAATGATATAAATTATTATTATATTAGCGATTTTCACAGCTCAGCGAAAATCATTTGACGTTGGACAAAAAGTTTTGAAAGTGTTCAAGTAGAAATGGCAAATTTCCATTTGAACCTTTTCAGCCTTTTCTCTTTTTAAAACAAGTGTTTGATTATGTTTTCTTAAAGAATTGGTGCTTCGGATTTGTATATTAAAATTATGTATATATATCTATCTATATTTCTTCACATATTTTATGACATTTTTTGTTTTGATTTTGCAATTCCAAAATTTTAACTACAAATAAAATTGAAAGCGAAAGTATATTCCTTATTAAATACTTAAGTTTTCAAAGCTATAAAAATAAAATTTTTATATTATTAAAGGTATTTTGTTTGGAATGCTCAACTACAAGCTTGATTCTTATTGTTTCTACTACTGTTTTTAGTCTGTAGATTCTCTAAACTGTTTTTTTCAAAACATAAAGAAATAGTAATCAACTAAACTTTTAGTCTAAAGTTTACAAAATGGAAATGCATAAGAATGTTATCATTTATTTTTTTTCATTTTTTATTATTTTTTTTATATTGGCTAAGTAAGAGAACCAATGAACTCTAATTTCAAATTCAAATTCTCTTCTTTTAGGCTATGTATTTAACAATCTACGTGAAATGGTGGTTCAATCTATAAGTCAAGAATGTAAGTCCTACTTTGACTTTTTAAATTTTTAAATACGGAAAAATGTATAACAAACATTTTATATTTCAATAATTTTATTTATAGAAACTTAAGTTTGATGATCTACCTTTTAATTTCACAAAGCTAGATAAAGGGTACATCATCAAACTTCAACTCTTTGATTAACAAAAGATTTATTGTAATCACTCAAATTAAATTTAATATTAGTTTTAGCTACCAAAGTGTTGTCAGAAACAGCAACCTGCAAGAATATTTTGGATTTTCTGGATATAAATGATGGCATTATTTCTCTCAAATATTCTGATTTTGTATTAACCAATAGCCATTTTTTAAAAATTTGCAAAGACAAAAATAAACATAACATAACATTAGAAAATCTTTCATTATTTTTTACAACCTACTGTAAGTATAATATCTCTAGAGTGATGCTTATAAGGATCTTAAAAAAGTTCAAAGATTACATTGTAAAATTAAATCGAGCCAAAAATTCGGACTTAAAAAAACATTTTTTAAGTTCTGCTTTATTTTTTAATGGTGCTTTTTCTGATGTTGTTGGTTTGTTTCCTTCTGATGCTTGTTCTACCCCTACTTCTATCTACAATAGTTAAATTGTTCCAAATCAAGTTACTGTTTTTGTATCTTCTGATTTAAACTTGCAAATTACTAATGATGAATTGTCGTGCCCTGTTACCCCAACTTCTATTGTATACATCCCTTTAGAAAATAGATCTGAAAATTTTCTTACTGAATTGCGTGTTAGTGAAGAGAATTTTCCAGTTTCCCATTTAGATAAAAACTACCTTTATTTTCTGGTGATTTGACCTATCAAATATAAAAATACAAACTGACAATTAATTACCTTAAATTGCAAAATAGACAAGTTAATAAAAGATGCAATGAATATAAGAGAAAGTATCAAGCAATCTTGTCAAAATATAATGCCAGAAAAGTCAACAAAAGAGACATTAGAAAGGATTGTAGGATTAGTCAATTGTTAAAAATAAATTTAAGATTGGAAAAAGAAATTGATTTGGCTAGAAAGTGTTCACAATCAGATTGACAAAAAGCATGGTGTTTGAAGAAAAAAATTGAAAACACTGTTTTGAAAACATCTGATGAAACAAATGATTCCTTCTTAAAGGAAAGTTTAAATTACTTTGAAAATCTTTCAGAAGAGCTGAAGGAAAGAGTTGACATATTTGAAAAAAATATAATTGATGTTTTTGAAAGAGGTAGATATAATAATGAAATTCCCACTGTATATTACGACTTTTTAAGTAAAAATGTTTCTGTTAATAATGTTGAATCTGTTATCAGTACTGTACTACAAAAAATGGCTGGAATTTCATGTGGCTCACTTCCAAAAAAATTTTTGGCTGCTGAATTTTTTAGTGAAATGAACCTTTTATCAAAAGCTCATGTGAGAGAGGTTATGTTGAATAGCACAAACAATGTTCTTCATACAGATAGCACAAAGTATAATTTTAGGGAGGTTGATAGTTTTAAGTCACAACATCATCTGGTAGCTACACGTTTGGGATAGAATAAATGTTTTCTGGAGAGGCACAATCTTATTTTGGAGAGCTAAAAAATTCACTCACTGATATGTCTCAGATATTTTTTCTGGAAAAGGAAAACTATGAAAACTTATTTTTTTGTTCAAATCTTTGATGACTAATCGCACTATAGTTAATTCAAGTTTTTTTATCCAATTTAAACATTGGAGAGCCTTTTGTCGTTAAAAACTATGATCAGTTTCCTTTAAATGAAAAATGAAAAATTTCTCAAATGCATCATATTTTTTGTGGCTTACACGTTATTCACAGTATAGGAATATATGCAGAAAAAGCAATCATAGAATGGGAAAAAGTGGTTAAGCAGGAAGGTAGTATTCAAGGTGGTTTTAAAAACTCTCAAAACTCTCTCACCTTTGATATTTTGTATGAATTTTCAAAACTTACAAGCTATAGGCATGGTGATCAGCGGAATGGAAAAGCCGATGATTGGTAGCCATTATTGCATAAAAAGTTTTTAAAAAATTATATGATTTCATTTCTGCATCATGGTTTTAACATTATATTTGCACTTGGTGGAGCAACATATTTTCATAAAGATCACCTTAAAGAATTAGTTTTCAATCTTGATGGTTCAAATTTCCTTCATGATTCAATTTCGAACGATATTGATAACGTCATTTTTCACGCTTCAACTAGAGCTCTAGGAATTTTTAATAAACTGATATCAGGAACTCTTTTTCGTATTATTGAAGAGGAGGGTCATATTTTTTCCTGGAATACCATTTGGTTGCAAATGTTCAATTATTTTGTTTGTTGTTGTTCTGATGCATCAAAAATGTTAAGTGGTTCTACATTTTTTGATGTAAAATATCTCACCAAGGGTGAAGTGTTTGATCATTTATTTTCGAATTGTAATGATCCAATTTTGGATGCCTTAACACAAGAATGTCTTGAAGTTATATGTTGCACATGTTGGGTAATGATTAAGAGTCAGTTAAGAGACAATTTGCCTGGAGGAAAATATCACAATCCAGGTAATGATGTGCTTGAGGAAACTCAAAACTGCTCATGTACTAATGTTGTGTCTGAACGTGACTTTGCTTCTTATGATCGCAGGTTAAAAATGAAACCTAACATGACAACAGTAGCTGCAGCTGGTTTCATCATGTTTAACAACAACAAAACAGCTGATTGGATAGATGGAAAATCACAAGAAGAAATTGAAAAGCTAGTTTTACTAGCAAGGTGAAATAGAAAAGGGTATATTAGAAAGTACAGAGAGAAAAAAGCAAATATATTGCAGTACAAAGTTGATGAGATGGACAAGCGAAA